GCTACAAAAAGTACAAAAGGAGTTAAGAAAATTATTATAGGGTGGCAGTTCAAACACATAAAATTTTTAAGAATAAGGCAGTGTACAGTGGCTCACACCCGTAACCCCAGCACTTTGGGAGGCTAAGGTGGGAGGATAGCTTGAGGCCAGGAGTTTAAGACTAGCCTGGGGAACAGAGTAAGACCTTGTCTCTTCAAAAAAAAAAATAGGAATAAATGTCATTTTGGGATTAAGCAAGTAATTGAAAAGGTTAGAATTGATGAATAGTTTTTTGAAGGAATCAGACTTGAACTGGGTGGACCTTAATCAATAATTTGTGTAAAACAAAAAAATCCAGCAGCAGGAGGGCATGTGAAAGGCAGAATGATAAATTGATAAATGCTAGAATGAGAATAAAGATACAAGACTTGGGAAACAATTAGATCGTGGGATTTTGCAGTGTGTGTTTGGGATTACATAGGTTGGGGCCAGGGTTGTAGGAGCATTTGAATAACAGGCTGGCTCATTATATGAGATTTCCAAACCAGAGAATAACAACATAAGACAGTTTTGATCTGGAGATGGTGTGACTGGAAGCAGGGAAATCAAATGACTGTTAGAATCCTACCAAATGGAAATGGTAAACCTAATTACTTTAAAAAGTAATAGAGACTATAATCACATTGAAAAACACTTGGTTTTTATTGACTATCACTGTGAAAAGATACAGTTATGAACAAAGGCACAACTACAAAGAGTTACAATGGTGTTTGCGGATATATGTAATTTTTTTCAAACAAATGAAATTTGGCAATGGTAATTATTGTAAAAAAGGAAAAAAATGTGCCTCATTTACATTGTCTAATTTGAACCCCATTATAAGCCTGTGAGATAAGGCAGGCACTGTTATCACCATTTACAGATGTGGAAATTGAACCCTGAAAGATTATTTGCCCAAAATTATTCCGTAAGTTTATGTCACTAGTCAGTAACAGAGGAACACAAACCCAGATCTTCACAGGTCAGATGGTGTGTTGGCAATAGATGGGGACGGCTCTTCATCCCTTTTAGACAGTTTAATCCTGTTTCACCAGTGTAACCCTTGCTTCTTCTCTCAATTAGGGAGCATGGTAAGATAATGTCATGTAAGAATAAACTTTAAATGGAAATTGACCGAAAAAAGGGCAAAAAATGCTCCTACCAATTACCAAAAAAAAAAAGAAAATTGAGACTGAGAAACAAATATTCTCTCATCACATATGTTGTGTGGATCATACCAGTTGCATTCAGGAAATATCCCAAATGAGGGTCCTGTCATTTGGAATGTCATTGGCAGGCCTGAATAGAGCTTTCAGTAGAGTAAAAATCAAAGGAAAATGTCCATACACTTCTAAATATGCATCCTTAAAAAACAGTATTGCCCATATGTAAAAATATTGAAGAACTATGTATTACCATTCAAGCCTGGCACCAATTTATGAATCTTCTATCCTCACTCTATCCCTATAAAATGGAACTATTTTGTTTTCTGAACAAAGCCTGCATTTTCCAACCTCTGAACTTTGCTCGTGCCTACATGCCGTAGCCTTTCTCACCTGTGCTTGCTGAAATTGTAGTCATTCTTCAAGAAGCCCTTCAAATACCTCTTCCAAGAAGTGCTTCTTTCACCCCACTCCTTCCCTGCCTCCCAATATAAAACTTCTTTTGTAGCATTTATAAACTTTCTTGTTTTAGAGTTTGTATAGTTCCCTTATTCTTCCTACGCAATTATTAGATTCCTTCAAGAGGAGGCTATGACCTAACATTTACTGAGCAGTTACTATGTCAGAAGGTGCCAGGAATTTCACTCAATGTGTACAATACCGCTAGTGTTTATCAAGTATTTATTGAGCTAAACAGTGCTCTAAGTGCTTTACCTGTATTAAGTCATTTAATTTTCACAATAACCCTATGTGGCAGGTACTACTATTATTACCTCATTTTGCAGATGGAGGAAACTAAGGTCTAGAAATTTGAATTAATTTAGCCAAGGTCACAGGGATAGGAGATGTTTGAGTCATGGCTCAAATCCAGATATCCTGCCTCTGGGGGCCCTAGGACTCAACCTCTGTTTCAAAGAGCTTTCTTCCACTGACGAGAAGCTTAGTCTATCTCATTGGGTTTATGCCCCAGTAGAAAGTATGCCTCTCCTTCAGCCTCTCTGTCCTTGAACAGTCAGGCATCCTGTTCTTGGTCATTAGACCCCTGAAGAGCCCTCCTTATAACCTAATTCCAACTGCCAGGAAAGCTTGGAGTGCCCAACCCTGAAGGTTTGGGGTTTTATGTTACTTTTTGGATCATCCCACAAACCAAAAATAAAAAAATTAACTCCTGTTTGATTGCTGCTTTCTACTGATATTCCCACAATCAGCTATTTTAAGAACCACTAAAACTAGAGTTCTTAACCTAGGGTCTAATAAGGACTTCCTGAAATTTTATTTAAAAGCATTTTTCTGGGGGAAAAGACCCACTAAGTTTCACTGGATTCTCAAATGGATTCAGAGTTCCTGTCAGATCTTTGTAGACCTTCAGGCATTTTTCTTTTTGGAAGCTCCAAGTTCTCTTATCAAACATTGAAACATATTGAAACTCATATTAAATATAATTTTTACCTATCAAATACTTCATTTGACTAATTGTAATAAAGGTATATTTTATGGACATATGATTAAGTATTAATTTTGACTTTTCACATTTCCTTTTTGTACTCTAGAGCCAATACATTTTTTAAGGTCTCAAACATTTCACAGGCCCTTGGAAAGCTTACAGGCCCTAGATGCTGTACCAAATGGCTCTGAAGGGGTTCCTGACTCATGAAGGTCAGGAAGCATTGTCCTGCCCTGAAGTGTGATGTCAGATGACCACCTCCTCCATAATTTCCCTCTACTCTTGGTTCCTTAATCCCCTTCCTGCTCCTCAGCCTTACTCTTTCTCCCACAGCCTTGAGAGTCTCTTCCTTCACCCAAACTAAGGATGAGTTGACAGAATTCTCTTTTCTTTCTTTGGTCCTCTTGTCTCTGGATCCTAGGAACCCCAGAGTGGAATATCTCAAATCCTGGTGGTGGAAGGGGCAGAGCTAAAGGATGCACAAAGAGCTGGAAACTCACAATGAGCTTTTCTCTCCTTTCCTTCCCATAATCTATTTTAGATATGGCCGAAACCATGAAGTTTGGGAATGACAGAAATTGGGATATGCTGAGCTATGCCACATTTTTTTTTTTTTTTGGACTAATTTCTGAAACCAGATCTGAGTGTTGCATTGGGCTAACAGTTAAGTACAGAGCCAATAAATGGTCTAATGTTAGCATTTCCAAGAAACTAAGAAGAGATGAAATAAAAAATGATACTGATTCAAGAAATAACACTGCTTCCTTTACAACTTTCAAAAGAAAACTGAGAAATTATAGAAATATGTTTTTTAAATTGTGGTGAGTGGCAGAGTTTGTATTTAGAAAGGACAAAGACACCAGCAGAGATGGGATGAGAGCAGGGTTTTTAGGAAACTCCAAAGACAAGGACATATATTTCCAGTGTTTCTTCACCTCCACAGTTGGATGCAATCTCTTTCCTCTCTAAACAATCTACACTTCTACTTGACTCTCTTCTGGCACTTATTATTTTCTACCTTATTTTAGGATTGTTTTTATGCAGGTTTAATCTCACTTTCTAAATTGTGAGTACCTTATGCACCTTGGCACCCCTCACAGCATCTACCTACCATTGTTCTGTACACTTCTTAGGTACTCATCTATTTGCTAAAGGGATAAATGAAGAGAAGTCAAAATGCCATTACAGTCTAAAATGTAACAGATTTGCTCCATGAAGAGGTCATTGACCTAAAGGTATACTTTATTGGTCTTATATTGGTGTCTATATAAATATAGGAATAGAGGGGATAAATATATCAATATGTCATCAATGCTTTCTCTTTCTGAAATCATTCTGAGATTGGGCAGGCCTATCTATATCTGAATGTCAGTGTTTTTATGTTTATAGTACATACCCAGAATTTTCCAAAAGTATTAATATTTATAATG